GGGGGGTCTAGCGTGTTGCTCACCCTGTGTGCGCAGGAGAAGCACCAGGGGATCGTGTTAAAATCAGATGCTGACTCAGTAGCCTGGCCCAGAGCTGAACCCCACGCGGATAGCAGTGACCTAGCCGGTTCAGACCCCGGCCACACCGAGGGGCGGAAAGTGGCCTCATGAAGGGTGAGAAGGGTGCTGTCTGTTTTTCTCTGGTGACAGCAAATCTCCAGTCTCATTCCTAGAAATGAGCCCAGTGATTGGGTGCTGCTGTCAATGCCACTGATGTCCCTCTCTATCCATCACAGTCAGGCAAGCGCTCACGCTCTGGCCCCCGTTCTTCCTGCCTCCTGTGCCTGGACCCGGAGCAGCCCCCCCTCCCCACCCCACCGCCAAGAGTATTCAGGGGACACAGAAGTGTAAACAGACTTCTCCCCTCACGCGTGATTGCAGCTCCCGCTGCTTTAGCAGCAGCGCTGGGCTAGGCAGCCTTCTCAGCGGCCTGGAGGCGGGCTCTGCAGCTGGGCCCCTCCTCCTCCCTGGCGGCGTGGGCTTGGCAGCAGCAGCCACTCCAGATGAAAGGGCCATTTGTTTCTAAATGGCATAAATTGCTCTTTCTTTATTGCTGTCATAACAGGGGCTGCCCTAAAATGGGGGTGGAGGCCTCCCAGTTTGCAGTGTCTCCTGATTTCCCAGTCTTGCTCAGTTCTCACAGCTCTTGAGAGCTCCCTCAATTCCAGCCTGCCTGAGTGGGCACCAGAGCAGAGGATGGGGTGGGGGTGGAGGGTGCTAATTAGCCCAGAAAAGCAGCCTTGGCAAGAAGCCGCAGGGAGGGGAGTGAGGGGGGTTAGGTGGGGGGGGAAGCCTGGTCAGGTGGAGCACGCCCGTGCTGTGCCGGCTTAGGGCTTGGTGAGGATGGTGGATGGTGACTCAGGGATCACAAGGGAACCTGCGTAAGGTGCAGTTTAGGCAGCAACCAATATCTGCCTTGAGTCACCGATGGGTGTTTACTGTGTTATTAGAAGGAAGGCAGGAGCCATGATGATCTCTGAATAGGGAGAGACTGGTTGACACAGACATGAAAGCTGACAGGTCAGAATAAGGCACGTCTGTCAGCTTTGCCTCCGGGACTTCGTGTTCTTTGATGAACACGCAGAGGACGGAGCAGATGCAGGTGGCTGTTCAGAGCAGCCTAGCATGGATCAGAGTGCGCTCCTGGGTGGGGAGGGGAGTGGGCAGATTGCTTCAGGCTTCGGTAGTGGCATTCTCTCCCTCTTGCCGGCCACCTTAGCTCACCAACAGGTACTTGAAACTGTTCACTCAGGAACTGACTTCTAGGAGGCAGGGCTGGGCTGACAGGTCCAAGAAACGGGATAGACACACTAGGACCTTTCCTGCCTGGGCCCTCCAGGCTGCCCTGCAGGCACGCTCAGGGGCATAGGTTTGGACTAGGGTCCTCCTGGAGAAAAGGGCCTTTAAGTGGGTGGGGGTGTTAACCTGTGTAAAGAGCTTAGATCAGCACCCAGCCTTATGGAAATAATAGTTACAGTTATCAGAAGCTCCGATTCACTCTGGCGGTGCCCTCAAACCCACCTGGAGTTGACTGGCACCAACCTGTCAGAATAGCCATCTTTCCCCAGCTTCTGTGAATCAGTCTCCTCTGCTCTGTCATCATCAATGTTTGGGTTTTTTTACTGATCTAAGAGTAAACATTTTCCACTGATTTATGTCTTTAAAGAAAACATGAAATTAGAGTGGACTTGGAGCTGCTCTCTGAATAGTACAGGAAGTCAGCTATAGCTAACGCTCTGGGACTTACACATAATCCTTGGTGTTTGCCAGCTATGCTGTGCCGTAGGCGGTGATGGGCACATGCACCAGAGCCACGCCGCCTGGGTTTTACTCCTGGCTCCTCATGACCTTGGGCAACTGACTACCTTTCTTTTTTTTCCCTGTAACATTTATTTATTTTTTAAAATTTTGTTTTATTGCTTAAAGCATACAAGTCCTTCGGTTGATCTCTTACTCCCCTCCCTTCTGCCCCCCAACCCTCTCTGGCCTTCCCGCTGCAGTTTGACAATCAGTTTGAGGCAGCTCTGCCTCTGTATCTATTATTGTTCAAAAGTTTGTAATGGTCTTTATTATCCATGTATGAGTGAGATCATGTGGTATTTTTCCTTCATTGACTGGCTTATTTCACTTAGCATAATGCTTTCCAGTTCCATCCATGCTGTTGCAAATGGTAAGAGTTCCTTCTTTTTTACAGCAGCATAGTATTCCATCGTGTAGATGTACCACAGTTTTCTAATCCATTCATCTACTGATGGGCACTTAGGCTGTTTCCAGATCTTAGCTATGGTGAATTGTGCTGCTATGAACATAGGGATGCATATATCCTTTCTGATTGGTGTTTCTGGTTTCTTGGGATATATTCCTAGAAGTAGGATCACTGGCTGACGACCTTCTTGACTCAGTTTCCTTATTTGTAGAATGGGGAATAATAAGAGTCCCTATCGTGGGAGGATTCAATGTGCTCATGTGATTAGCGCTACTGTATTGCCACCCTTTGGAGATGCTGGGTGTCATTGGTAACATGTCTACCAGTAAGAAGAAGATGGGGAACCACTCTGCTAGGTGGTCTATTGGTTAGTCCATCATCAGTAAATTGGTCAGTGAACTCAAAATCCCCAGTGCAACTGCACACAGAGAAATTTGGGGGAGGCTCTCAACTGTTCCAGTGTCCGCTCTACAGGGGTCTGAAGCAGCAGCGTGTAAAGCTTTGGAGATGTAAAAATGTGGGTAGAAAGAAAATCGGTGAGAGCCTTTGTGTAAGGGTGTTCATTTGTCACATTTCCTGGCTGCACAGCACCTACTGAAAACTCTTCCTGTCTTTGGAGAAAGTCCTGCCTTGTGAACCCACGGTAGAACTCTGAAAACATTTTCCCAGGATCTCTTGCAGCTCAAGCACAGGCACGTGAGCTGGGCTCCACGAGTCAGACACCATTCACTCCCACACAAGCCCTCTCTCTGAAAGTGGTCAATGTAAGAAGCTAGTGCTGCCATTCAAAATCTATTTTCCAGTGAAGGTGGAGAGGAAATTTGGGAAAGTGGCAGTGACTGAAAGGTCAAGTTCTTAGTGCTACTGAAGGTAGTGGCAGTTGCAGTAAAGTAGTTCCTGATTTAAGTAGCGACATTGCAAATTGTAGCATCCCAGTGCCTGGTGACCATGGTGACAGAGCAGTTCTGCAGTATGGCTATGAGTGCTGTTCTTCAGCATACCACCCAACCCTGTTTCTCCTGATCATTCTGTGAGCTACCCAATACCCTTTGCAAAAGGCCCTTTTCTACCTAGCCCCCCCCCAAAAAAAATGTAGTAAAAGAAGTGCAGGTTGGTACCCTGCAAAATTCATCAGTAGGGAGGGCATATCCCTGGAAAGAGAATGAAAATGTGGTAAAATAAACATAACATAAAATTTACCGTTTTAAGTGTCCACTTAGTAGCATTAGAGTATATTCACAGCATTGTGCAACCACCACCAATATCCATCTCCAGAACTTTGGGAATAAAAATTGTTAACATGGACTCATGTCTTTGGAGAGTCTAGGTTTCAAGGTCACTTTCAATTCAAATCAACAAGCACTCACCCTACGTTCTACAGCACGAGCTCTACGTTCTGTTGCTGATTGCTGCGGTGCCAGCATCTAGTAGGTGCCTGAGAAATATTTGTTAGCTGTGGAGTGGTCACACGGGATATTCTCTAGTCCAGCTCTTGGGCAGTCTGAATGGGGTGTTGGCAGGTGTATTCACTGCCTGTGGATGGGTCTTCCTTCTGTGAGAAGTGTTGACTGAAGGTGTAAAGCAGCAGTTTCCAGCCTGGGCACTCCTGTTCCCTGGCTGGGGCTGGGGGTGGGGGTGGGTGGGGGGGAGGGAGGGACTGGAAAAGCTAATGCAGATTTTACTTTTACCTAGGATGAAGCTAACAAGGTCTACTACAGCCCCCGCCCCCCCCACCCCCCCCGTGGCTGGAAATATGACAACATTTATGACGGTACATCAGTTAGCTTCCACTTCTTAGGAACTCAGACAGGTTTTCAGTGATTTTTTGCAAGAAATATGTGTAATAATCCAATGTTTGGTGGTGAATGAGTTGGGGGACCATTCAGTCATTTATTCAAGAGTATGTATTGAGCTGCTGCTTTGTGGCAATTCTCTTCTGGGTATTGAAGACTCTGACGCAAACAAGACAGACACACGCCTCATATCTAGAGCTTACACACGGATGGGGAGAGACGGAAATTAAGCAAATGTCAGATGGATCTGGTGGGGAAAATGCTAGAAAGAAAAACGGCTGGGGAAGGCTGGAGAGAGTGACTGGAGATGTATGTTAATCTTTTGTGCAGTCATCACGGAGGCTCGCTGCGAAGGTGACATTTGAGTGGGGACCCGAGGAAAAGGAGGGAGGGTGTCCCCGACAGAGAACAGAGGTGCAGAGCTCGGAGGTGGAGCGGGCCAGGCGGGTCCCAGGAACCACAGGGAGGGCGGCGGGCAGAGTGGGGTGAGGGGAGAGTTGTAGGCACGAAGGTCCAAGAAGCAGCGGAGAAGACGTGGGCTCTGGAACGTCCTGAATGAGTATTGCAAGGCACACAGACACACCTGCTCCGTCTCAAATGAGATGTTTTCCTCCAAGTGTCCACCATCCTGTAGGGCAGCAGTTTTCAACCTGTGGGTCGCCTAAGACCATCGGAAAACACATATATAATTACATATTGTTTTTGTGATTAATCACTATGCTTTAATTATGTTCAATTTGTAACAATGAAATTGGGGGTCACCACACCATGAGGAACTGTATTAAAGGGTCGTGGCATGAGGAAGGTTGAGAACCGCTGCTGTAGGGCAAGGGAACCACCAAAGGGACCCCCTACTTTTTCCTCCCAGGGGTTGTGGTAGTTCCCTCTCTTGAGTCCCAGCTGTCTGGGTGAATCACCCATTTTTGCTCTCTGCTTCCCAGGCCTGTGCTGGCTTTTCTGCAGCGAGATGGAGACCGTTCGTCAGCCTCTGTGAGCCTGCAGCCTCCCCTCAGTGCCTGGCGTGGGCGGCTGTGCGGTCAGCGAGTGGGATGCGAGCTTATCCATAAAGTAAGGACGTGAGCATGAGAGGAAAAGGACAGATCTCAATGGAAGGACAACGGGGGAGAGAGAACTCCGGTCAACAAGCCTGGGAGGTGTGGAGTGATGGAGACGGCAGCACAGTACCTCCCACCCCCACCCCGATGTTTGCTCAGCCTCTTGAAGATGATTGCTTGTATTTCTGCCTCAGAGCTTCCCATGAACTTCCCTGATATGAAGTGAAAAGAAAAGACTGCGGGAGCTGATCAGAGAGCGTAATAAACACAGCGGGCGCCCGTGTTCCTGCCCCGGAGGCTCACGCCTGTGGAATGTGTCAGATTTGAAACTGGCACGTGGAGCCAGCGCCAGGCGTGCCCCCCCCCGCCCCCCCAGCACAGCAGAACATCTGATTAAACACAAGGGGAACTGTACTGCTTTCGTTCAGCCTGTTCTCTGCAGACACAAACCATTCTCTGATATCAAATGGAAACGAGCGGAATTAGCATGGGAAGGGCCATTCTTGCTGTCTGGTTTGTGTTCTCAGTATCCCCACGTTTCCTGGTCCTTTGTAAACTCATTTTCTTTTAATACCCAAATGTAATAGCCTGAATCCTCGCTCTGCGTGACTGAGAAAACCAGTCCCCTCCGGATATTTCTAAAGAGGTTGCCAAGCACTTACATGCCCTAAGTGTTGCTTCTCACGTACCCCCAGCCTCCCACCCCATGGCACCTTCCCCGGTTCTGCCTATAGCTGTCTCCTCACTCTTTCTCATTCTACTCCTCCCTCTGCTCTGCTCCAACCTCAGTGTGAACACTGGCCCTTCCTCTGTTCTCCCCACTTAACTCCCTAACTGAGCTGGTGTGTGTGGAGGCGGGGTGAGAGTCAAAATATTTAACAACTGCAGTGGCCCAGGTGCCGGGGTGTTTCTCAGCATCTAAAAGGGTTCAGGAATCTGGAGAAGGACTGCGAGTAAATGAATAAAGAGATGAACATGAAATATAAATTTGAAAGGCATTTTTGGGAGCCAGAGGAGACCTAGCTTCAGTAACCAAGTTCCCTGAATCTCTGAACCCCTATCTTTTTATTAACACAAATTGCCCTAAAGCAGCGGTTCTCAACCTGTGGGTCGCGACCCCTTTGGGGGTCAAACGGCCCTTTCACAGGGGTCGCCTAAGACCATCAGAAAACACATATATAATTACATATTGTTTTTGTGATTAATCACTATGCTTTAATTATGTTCAATTTGTAACAATGAAAATACATCCTGCATATCAGATATTTACATTACGATTCATAACAGTAGCAAAATTACAGTTATGAAGTAGCAACAAAAATAAGTTTATGGTTGGGGGTCACCACAACATGAGGAACTGTATTAAAGGGTCGCAGCATTAAGAAGGTTGAGAACCACTGCACTATAACCTCTGAGCCTCAGTTTCTTCGTCTGTAAAGTGGGAGGGGGTAGAGTAACAGTGTCTATCTGTGCCCAGTGCCTGAAACACCTGACTGATAGGAGGAGCTCAACAAATAGTCACCTGGAAGGTGACCTGGAGTGAATACAGACTTAGACCAAGATTTTCTTGAACATTGTAAACTTAATTCATTTTAATCTCTGCATGCCCCGTGACCCTAGCACAGGACCGGCACAGGACTGGTGCGGGAGAGCACTTGCTGGGAGAGTTGGAAGCAGCCATGGATGGGCAAGTGGGCACAAAGATGTGTGCACGGGTGGGTGGATGGACAGGCATGTAGCTGGATCAATGATGGATGGAGAAGTCGGACATCTGGGTGTATAAATGTGTGCTAAGTGGGGGGAGTGGAGGGATGGTGGGTGGGTGGGGTGAGGGTAGAAGAAATAAATACGGGACACGCCCTCATTGTGATCTGTCTGCTGGAGGGCTTCAAGATGGAGTGAACCCAGAAAGCACGTATCAGCAGGCCAAGGCCCACGTGAGGCAGCAGCTCTGCCTTTACGAGTGTGTTCTCCAGGCTAACCCACACGGGGATGGTGTGGCCAGGACACAGGTGACCTGCACCACTGTGTGCAGTAATGACATGTGGAGGCGGCTTCGACTTTATCACTCCGAGCAGGAGGGAGGCCTGGACTAGGGCCTCACACCTTAGAACAGCACCTGGTGGGGGCAGGCGATTCGTCCGTACCTTGGAATTCTGTGTGGCCATTAAAAATGATGGAAAGCTCTTAGCCAGTCCTTGGTAGAAAATAGAGGCTGAGTAAGTGATATTTTTGTCCATGACTCTCTAGTCGCACCTCTTGGTAGTTATTGAAGAAATAGATTCATTTCTTCTTTCATCTGTGCAACCAATACACATTGAGAGCCAACTATGTGCTAGGCACTGTGCTTGTTTGGGGACAGAGGATAAAACAAACAATAAAAGACAAAGATCCCTACTCTGGTGGAATTTACAATTTAGCAGAGGAGGCAATCACAAAATAAATAAAACACACAGTATGAGAAATAGCAATAAATGCTAAGAAGCTGAAAAGCGAAAGGTGAACAGGTAGTGGTGAGGGAACTTTAGGTAGAGGTCTTGATTTTAGAGAGATTTCGTAGGATTTTAGATAGAGATTGAGAGAGGAGGTATCGGAGAAGATGACACTTCAGTGAAGACCTGAGGGGGCGGGGGGAACGGGTGAGCTATGCTGATATCTGGGGTGCGATGGGGAAGAGAAACCCATGGCCACATGGCAAGTAAAACCAATGACATGAAGAAACTCCAGTTTGTAATAATGACTGAAATAAGGACAAGTGCTCTTGGTGGGTCCTTGGTTTTTTCCCTTCATTAAATGAGAAAGATTTATTATTTTAAAGGAAGGAACTACTTTTCCTCACTCTCAGTGCTTTTGGCAATCGTCACACATTTCCTTCCATCTCACTAAGCTAGAGGAGGGTAAATGCCTTCAGCACGGGGGTCAGACTATTCCACTGATAGCTTGTCTATTTGTTCTTTTGGTGCCTGCTTTTCCCCCCGGTGAGTCCATCACAGACAGCAAATCAATTGCGGACTGCTTTTATGAACCTGAACCAGGTACGGCTGTCCTGAATAAGTTCACATTGAAATCATACAAGAATGAAAGTTTGCTCTCACATTTCAGAGCATGTCTGCCTTGGGTGGTTTTCTTAGCTCACGCTCTGTTGCCTGTAACAAGTGTTTAGATTTAAGCTGATAAGAGCTATGAGAAGTGATCAATACTTTAGAGGACTTTAAGGTTGAAAAATAGTTCTGCCCTCCAGCAACTCATGTTCCTGCCACATCTTGTGTCTTTTGCATTTGGTGGTGGCATTCTTTTTGTTGTTGTTGTTAATCCTCACCTGACGATATTTTTTCCATTGATTTTTAGAGAGTGGAAGGGAGGGGGAGAGACAGAGAGAGAAACATTGATGTGAGAGAGACACAGTGATTGGTGGCCTCCTGACCAGGGCCAGGGAAGGAGCCTGCAACCAAGGTACATGCCCTTGACCTGAATCGAACCCGAGACCCTGTCGTCCAAGGGCCGGTTCTCTAACCATTGAGCAAAACCAGCTATGGCTGGAGATGACTTTTTTTTTAAAAAAAAACAGAAACCACTGTGTCCTCTCCCTCTTATTCTCCCAAAGGAAGAGAATAAGGATCATCAATGGTCATGGTAGTTGCCAAAGGAACACCAAAAGCCAGCTTCACACTCAGGAGAGAATGCTGCACCTCCTCTTCGTGGTTTTGGGGGCTCTACACATTCAGAGAAACTTCTCTAGTAACAAACCATAGAAATGACCCCTGAAAGTATAGGCTTTGGGGATGACACTCTTAATAATAAGGCCCCATGGATTTCATTCTCAGGGCAGTAGAGAGCTAGGAGGAATTTAAACGTAGGAGAGGGGTGAGGTACTTTGGCCACTCTGGCTTCCCTTCCACTCCCCTGCAAGGTGTCCACTGCTCCCTGTCCCTGGCTAACCCCCACCAGATTCTGAGCCCCTGTCCTCAGATGCCTCGATTTCTAAGGTAACTTGCAATTATACGAGATAAACGTATGTAATGGAAGACTGTAATGGTAGTCGAGGCCTTCAGACAAGGGCTGATGATCTGACTACAGAATTGTAGGCATTGGCCGGGGGCAGGAGAGAACTGATGTAACATTCTTTAATCATGGGCTGTTCTTCCAACTCTGATCACAACACCTCACAAAGAATCAAACTGGTCTCAAAGGAATCCAAGCACACACCTGGTGCCCACTTTCCTGAGGGGGGACCCACAGCACCATCCCCAGGTGGAGGGCAGGATTTGAATCCTAGAGTCTCAACAACAGCAGGGATCCTGGAGTTCCCCTGAGCCATGGCCTGCATCACCCAGGCTCCTCCGAGGGCAGGCTCAAAGTGCTTCCTTTGTTATTATTAGATTTGAATAATTGGCATCTCTCCGTGTTTTCCACGCCTTGATCACCTTCTCAGAGGAGCAGGTGAATGGAGAAAGAGCCAGCAGGGTTCAGGTAACCCACAAAGTAGACACCTGGTTTTGGTGTCATCAGAGGGGTCTGGATTCCATTGTCACAAGAAATAAACCAAAACCTTGAATGGCTGAGCTGAAATTCACGGCATTATCTCCCTCTTCGTCTTATCATGGATGGGTTTTTCCCTATATGGCTTCAAACCTCCTCTATATCTTTGAAATCTTATCACGTGGCTGCTGCAACGTATCTTTTGAATTACAGAAACTTCAATGCAAAATAAAGCAGTCAGAAGGAGTTGCCTGCAGAAGGAGTCAGGTAACATCTGGTGCATCTCAGATTGCCCAGGGGTACCTGTCTTCCTCTCCCACCCACACCCTCCAGTCCCCTTCAAAACATCAGCCTCGACCTGGCACCGTGGGACTCCTTAAGTCACCTGTGTCAACCAGCCGTTCAGCCCCGGCTGACCCCATTTCCTGCCTGAGCCTGCCGAGCCTACAACAGCGATGTTCCTGCCTGCGCTGTAACAAGTTAAATGTCACCCTCCGATGTTTACCTGCTTTGAAGTTTCCCGGCTGCGGTCTATGGGGAAACTTTTCTGTCTCCATCGCACTCCTCCTCACGCCCTGTTCTGTGTGCGCGCAGGCCCTTCTTGCTGTGATTGCGCATTTCTGCCCTCACATCCTTTCAGTGGTGGGTCTCTTATTGTCTTTACTAACAAAGACAGCAACGGTGCTAACCCAGGACTTACTATGAGTCAGACACCCTTCTAAGCACATTCGGGTAGATGAGCTCACATCACCCTCACACCGAGCATTTGAGGGGGTTGCAATCCTGAACCCTGTTTTACAAACAAGGCAACCAAGGCACGGAGAGGTGAAGGAACCTGCCCATGGTCGCCCAGCTACTGAGAGGCGAAATCTGAATGACAGGGAGTTCACTCCTCCGCCTGTCATTTTCCCCTTCGGCACCTATGTCCTCTGCAACTGCGTTTAACCAACACTTACTTCTCAGGGATGGAGATATTGAAAGCCATGCCCCTGGTCTAGTTGAGGAGACACATGGGCACATGACAACCTGGAGTGCTGCCCGGGGCAGCGGAGGCCTGCGCACGGGGCTGTGGGACGCTGAAGGTGGACACTGAGGTGTGTGTGATCACGCTGTAAAGAAGTTTCTCTCCCACTGCCGGATGCTTGTGTGTTGTTGTTTTTTTAAATATATCTTTATTGATTTCAGAGAGGAAGGGAGAGGGAGAGAGAGAAACATCAATGATGAGAATCATTGATTGCTTGCCTCCTGCATGCCTTCCCCGACTGGGGACCAAGCTCACAACCCGGGCAAGTGCCCTGACCTCGAATCGAACCGTGACCTCCTGGTTCATAGGTGGATGCTCAACCACTGAGCCAGGCCGGCAGGGCCATGGTCAGATGTTTTGTTAGCTTCCTTCCGTCTCTTTCTCAGTTTTTGAAACTTCCATTTTCTTTACCTCTTGCCCCAGGAGAGCAGTTTTTGAATTTAGCTGTGCATTAAAATCACCTGTAGCGCCAGCGGCTGGCTGGTATTCGTCTTGGCTATGTGGCTGACCCATTTCTTGGTCCCCCTTACACTCAGCTGTGGCCGACAGCGTGGGGGCAGAAGCAAGGCCTCCCTGGAAATCCTCATGCCGTGTCTCCTGTCTCCCAGGGTTCAGTGGAGGACTCTGGGTTATTCCACTCTACACCTGGGTCTGAGAATCACTAACCCAGCACATTTGCCTTAATTGTGGTCTCATTACTCCTGCTATAGCAAAGTCACCTGGCTTGATATTTCTCAGGGGGGCTTTGTTTTCATCCTTTAACTTTTCTCTTAGCAAACACTCCCTCAGCCAGTTTTTGCTGCTAGATTTAGCTGAGCAGATAAGAGCTGTGGGCGTCTGAGGGTCCTAACATGCACTGGAGCCATCAGGAAAAAACAAACACATTTTCTTTTCTTCTTTTTAAAAAAAATATGTTTTTATTGATTTGAGAGAGAGAGGAAGGGAGAGAGAAACATCAATCAATCGGTTGCTTCCCGTATCAGATGATGCTCAACCAACTGGACCACCCCGGCCAGGGTGAAAAAAGCATATTCTTCTCTCTCAGGACTGGAGGCATGTGGTACTATATGAGGGCAGAGATACTGGGAATGGCCCCACCCAGAATCATAAAAGTAAGAAATAATATGAATATAACATAAATAGATAAAACAGCTATTATTTCGATAGAATTTAATAAATATATACATATGTGAATACAATACTGTTTGAGCATCTAGTATATACCAATCACTTTACATGCAGTATCTCATTTAATTCCAACAACAACCCTAGGAGACCGGCATTATTATTATTATTACCTGATCATGCAGAGGAAACGAAGGCACAGAAAGGTGAAATCATTTGCCCAGGGTCACATGATAAGGGAGATGAGCCAGGATTGAAAGGCCATCTAACGCCCAAGCCCACAGGACTAACCTACCTCAGGGCCTTCCCACAGCTGCCCAGGCCCCAGGCCCCTGTCCCACAGCCACCTTGTCCCCCCTCCCCCCAGTGGCTCCTTTTGGGTCCTGACTAGGCAGCACTCCCCTTGCCCACCGCTCACCACACTTCCTGTAATTAAACTTTACTCAATTTGAACAAAACCCCTGGACCTGGTGATTCTCCCTGGCTTTCCCCACATAGTTTGAGATTTCCCCGTCACCATGGCAACCAAATTCTTGGATGAAACTGGATCCCTGGAGATAAGGAAATGCAGGGACTAAGGGATGAGCTGTGAAGGTCCCCCTGGCTGGTAAGTGGTGTCCTCAGGCGGTGTCCACCAGCTGCAGGAATTTTCTCCAGCCTACCCTCCCTCCCTCACCGGGGCCATTTTAGCCATTAAGTACCCTTAAGGGTCTACAAAAATGCTTAAACCTCTTCTTAAAAAAAAATTATAGGAGCTCCAAAGTAGGAAAAGAAAACTATAAATTGAAATGAATGAAGGTTGGATTAAATGCCTACAAAAATATCACATTAAACTTTAGGAATACATTTGGAATTCATAAGAAATTCAGCGTGCTTGAACACAATAAGGCTTGTTTTTCTTACTTTGCAAAGCTGTCCTAGTGTGCATAAGGATTGCTGAGAAATCATGGCCAATCATGCACTGGATGTCTTTCTTGGAGGCGAATCATTTCAAAAGCAGAATTGTAAAACTCCTATTATCTTACATCCAAAATAACAAATAGTGTTGGTTCAAGTTGGCCAAATGTTGACTGTCTAACGTGTGGATTGCTTTCTAATACATTTGATATGATGTGGGGTGGGGCCTTCCAAAGGAGTTCCTTATCCCTCGGAATCATGCCACCTTCCCAGACTCAGGGATACCCAAGCCATCGAGCAGGATGCAGAGGTGAAGGGTGGCCGGGGAGGAAGGGGCCCAAGAAGGGGAACAGGGATCTTACAGCTCTTCCAGGTCCAGCCAATACCAGGAAAGAGTGGCCGCGAATGTGCCAAATAGATTCCAGCTGCCTTGGCTGGAAGCGAGCCAAGGAAAGCCCGCGCCCCATTTCCCCTTCCCCAAAGGAGGGAGGTTGGGAGACTTTTATTTTTTAAAGCGGAGGAGGGGCGTGAGGGGCTGCTAAGCTCCGTGTTATTCTTTCCCTTCAGGGACAGGGGAGCCGTCCTTATCCTTATCGCCCAGTGCTGGCCCGAGAACTCCGGAGGCGTTGCCAGTTCACATCTGTTTTCTTATCAAGGTCCTGGACTGGAGGGAGACCCCAGCAGCCGTGGTCTCCCCCAATCGGGACTGGTGCAGGGAGGGCCCTGCGGTCTGTGATAAAACCCAACGGCAGGAATCAATCAGGGGGCCGCCTTGGTCCTTTGTCTCGGCAGCCAGCACCTCTTGATAAGGCGGCACAGGGCCAGCGGCCCCCTGGGTTCCATGGCGCAAACCTCTGACGTGAGAGTCTCGGGACCTTGGTTTTCTCACCTGAAAATGAGGCTAGTAATTCCTGCCACTTTTCCATGAGAGAAACTGTGGGCCACAATGGGATAATGGATCTGACGTTGCCTGAAGCCAGTGGTTCTCAACCTTCTGGCCCTTTAAATACAGTTCCTCATGTTGTGACCCAACCATAAAATTATTTTCGTTGCTACTTCATAACTGTAATGTTGCTACTGTTATAAATCGTAATGTAAATATCTGATATGCAGGATGGTCTTAGGCGACCCCAGTGAAAGGGTCGTTCGACCGCCAAAGTGGTCTCGACCCACAGGTTGAGAACCGCTGCTTAAGCGGTTTAAAGATTTGCTACTCAGTGTGGCCTTCAGACCAGCAGCCTCAGAATCACCGGAGAGCTTGTTAGAAGTGGGGACTCTCAGGCCTGCCCCAGGCCTGCCCCAGGCCTGCCCCTGACCTGCCCCTGACCTACCCCGGCCTGCCCCGGCCTGCCCCGGCCTGCAGAAACTGAATCTGCATTTTAAGAACATCCCAGAAGCACAGGTTTAAAATAAAAAAGAAGGAACTTTTACCATTTGCAACAGCATGGATGGAACTGGAGAGCATTATGCTAAGCGAAATAAGCCAGT